TTGAAATTTGGTGAAATCAGTCGGATGGAACTTGTGTGCGATAATCAAGCTGCACTTCATATTGCATCAAATCCGGTGTTTCATGAGAGAACTAAACACATTGAGATTGATTGTCACTTCGTCAGAGAAAAGATACTCTCAGGAGATATTACTACGAAGTTTGTGAGATCGAATGATCAACTTGCAGATATTTTCACCAAGTCCATCACTAGTCCTCTCATTGATTATATATGTAACAAACTCGGTACATATGATTTATATGCTCCGGCTTGAGGGGGAGTGTTAGAGATAACTATGTAATTGTTCCACATTGGAATAGGAGTAGTATCCCCTTTGTATAGAGTAGCTATAAATAGCACCTCTTGTATTGCATCACACACAATATCAATATATCATATTTTCTCCTGTGCCTTCTCACAAATATCACCAGCCCAGTCACTATCACAATATCCCACGAACTTGGATTCTTTAGAAGATGAATAAAGAATTCCATAATCAAGTGTACCTTTGATGTACCGAAGTATTCTTTTGGCTACCTTTAAGTGCGAGGTAGTAGGAGTTTCCATAAAGCGACTCAGGAGTTCAACTCCAAAAAGAATATCCGGCCTTGTACATGACAGATACCTTAAGCTTCTAATAAGACTCTTGAAAAATGTGGGATTGACTCCATCTACATGCTTGGATATTTTAACTCCACATTCAACGGGGGTGCTTATGGGATTGCAATTCTCCATCTCAAATTTCTTGAGAATTTCCTTTGCATACTCTCCTTGAGAAATAAAAATGACATCCTTCCTATTTCAAGATAGTAGGACATTAGGCCAATGTCCGTCATCTCAAATTCCCTAGCCATTGCTTTCTTGAATTCTTCAAACATCTTTGGATTATTTCCTGTAAATATCAAGTCATCTACATACAAGCAAGCAAGTAAGATGTCACCATTTTTAGCAATCTTTACATAGAGGGCATGTTTATGTGGACACTTAGAAAAACCATTTGCTTGGAAATATTTGTCAATTCTACTATTTCAAGCTCGCAGGGCTTGCTTCAACCCATACAAAGCTTTCTTTAATTTCAAGACTTTATCTTCTTGTCCTTCAACCTTATATCCCGAAGGTTGATCAATATAGACCTCTTCCTCCAATACGCCATTCAAGAAAGCCGACTTCACATCCATTTGATGGATTTTCCATTGATTTTGTGCCGCCAAAGCAATGACAAAGCGAATTGTTTCTAAACGAGCAACCGGCGCAAATACTTCATCATAGTCGATACCGGCCTTTTGCTTGTAGCCTTTAGCTACCAATCTTGTTTTGTACCTTTCTATTTCTCCCTTGGAATTCTTCTTTAGCTTGTACACCCATTTGACTCCAATGGTGCTTTTGCCTTTTGGAAGTGTGACCAACTCCCATGTATCATTCTTTTTTATAGCTTTGATTTCTTCATCCATTGCATCCCTCCATTTGGAATTTTGGCAAGCATCTTCAAAGCTTAGAGGCTCACTGTCCACCGGCAAACAAAAATGAGAAAAATCATACAAGTTATTTCTTACCACTTCCATGATTTCATACAAGTCACAGAGACTTCTACTCCTGTGAGGTGCTTTACTTAAACTTGAGCTTGATTCCCCAACTTCTTGATCTTGTGGCGGAGGTGTTGAAGGTGGTGTGATAGCCTGCTCCCCATCTTCTTCTTCATCACCTTCAAAGAATGGACTAAAAGAGTATTCTTGCTCTTTAGATTTCCACTCCCAAGCATTTTCTTCATCAAACTCAACATCTCTACTGATGGTGACCTTGTCATTTTTTGGGTTATACAATTTATAACCTTTAGAACTTTGATCATAGCCAATGAAGACATACCTCTCACTTTTGTCATCAAGCTTAGACCTCTTCTCATCTAATACATGTGCATATGCGATGCTCCCAAAAACTCGCAAATGAGCAACTTTTGGCTTGAAACCGCTCCATGCCTCTTGTGGTGTTTTCCACGAACACTTTTGGTGTGACACCGATTTGATAAGTACACCGCACAAGCAACAGCTTCAGCCCAGAACTCTTTTGGCATATTTTTGCTCTTCAACATACTCCTCGCCATGTTGAGAATAGTTCGATTCTTTCTCTCCACGACGCCATTTTGCTGTGGTGATCTCGGAACTGTCAAGTAATGACGAATTCCATTTTTCTCACATAAAATCTTGAATTCATTTGAAGTGAATTCTCCACCATTATCGGACCTAAGTGACTTAATTTGATAGCCACTTTGCTTCTCCACCATGCTTTTAAACTTTTTGAAGGTTTCAAACACCTCCGATTTTGCCTTCAAAAAATAAATCCAAGTTTTTCGAGAAAAATCATCAATGAAAAGTAAAAAATAATTACTTTTACCAAGTGAAGATGGCTTGATAGGTCCGCACACATCCATGTGAATTAACTCGAGAGGGCATCTAGCTCTTGTTAAAGACTCCTTAGGAAAGCTTTTCCTTGCTTGCTTTCCAAAGAGACATCCTTCACAAAGTTGGTTGGGATGATCAATTGTTGGCAATCCATTCACCATGCTTTCCTTCTTCATCAACCTTAGGCTATCAAAATTCAAGTGACCAAATCTCATATGCCAAAGCCAAGATGAATCTTTGGCACATGAAAGCAAGCACCTCGGAACATCATTTTGAAGATATAAGATGAACATTTTATTATTAGCCACAGGTACTTTGGCTAACAATCTTCCCTTTTCATCTCTCATATACAACTTTTTGTCTTTCAAATGAATGTCATAATTTTTCTCCAAAAGTTGTCCCAAATTTAAAATATTACTTTTCATCTCCGGCACATACAAAACATTGGAGATTAATGGATGACTTCCATCTTTTAAGCGAATTAAAATCGTACCTTTTCCTTTGATTTGAACTCGTGAAGAGTCTCCAAAAGTGATTGGGCCACCATTCAGCTCCTTGAGCTCCACAAATAAGTTTTTCTTTCTACAAATATGACTACTTGCACCGGAGTCAAGGTACCATTTGTTCTTTTCCACACTTTCTTCTCCTTTGCATGCAAGAAGTAGAGTTGCATCTTCATCTTCATTTTTTCTTTCCACAAAGTTGTTTTTCTCCTCCGAATTATCGTTACATTCCCAGGAAAAATGTCCAAATTTATGACAAGTATAACATTCAACATTCGATTTGTCATACCTTCCTTGATTTTGTCTCCATTCTTTGCCTCTTCCACAACTTCTTCTTTGACTATAGTCTTGGCTTCTATTGTCTCTATTTGGTGGTTGACTACCACCTCTTCCTCCTCTACCACGACCTCTTTGCTGCGAACCACGCTTTTCATTTTTCTCCTTGAAGGAAAGTTTTGCTTGCAACGCCTTTTCAATCGATTCTTCTTTCGGTTTCTTCAATTTTTCTTCATGGGCTTGCAAAGAACTCGAAAGTTCATCTATGGTCATGGTGTCCAAGTCTTTGGACTCTTCAATAGCAACAACAATTCTAGGGATCGTAGTATTTTTGCAACGACCCTATCATCCTTCAACTCTTCACCATATCTTTTCATTTGATTGACAATATCCAAAACTCTTGAAATGTAATCTGAAGCAGATCCATTTTCTTTCATATGCAATGATTCAAACTCTCCTCTTAAGGTCTGGAGACGAACCTTTTTCACTTTGTCCAAACCTTAAAGGAAGTTTGAAGAATGTCCCATGCTTGCTTGGAGGTTGTCGCATTTGCAACCTTCTCGAACATCTTGTCATCCAAACCTTGATGGATGAGAGTGAGTGCCTTTTGATCTTTCTTATTTGTGGCTGCGACATCTTCCGCTTCATCAACTCCAGACTCTACCGGTTCCCAAACATCATAGGCACCAAGCAAGGCTTTCATTTGAATACACCAAGTCTCTTAGTTCTCTTTTGTGAGCATAGGAACTTGGAATGGTGTTCCATTAGTGTTTGTCATCTTTTCTCCAAGTTTGGTTGTCTCTCAACACACCGACTTTGATACCAAATGTTAGAAATTTTTGGGAGAGCAAGACAACTAAACAAACACTCAAAAACTCGCTATTAAAGAGGTGGAGGAAAGGATGATTTCTATTCAACTTCACTTACTCCAAATGGCTAGCATACATGGGTATTTATAGTAGAACTCCTACATGTATCTAGCCTAAACTTCATGTGCACATATTAATTAAGTCCACACATGTACACACTAGTCCATACATGCCTACACTAGTTCACACAAATTCACACGTGTCCACACCTCACTCTTTTCTAACTATGTGTATGAAAACATTAAATTAATGTAAACAAATCTAAACAAATGTGGACAAATGGAAACAAGTTTATTACTATATTTAACATGTAGTTGATATTTTTGACCGAAAATTTGGTATTTTTATGTTGTTTAATTGTAGCCATTGATGTGGTTGTTCCACATGCCCATAAAATTAGTTGTGTGATGTTGAAACAGCGATATTGCTCTATTTTGTCAGTTGAGTGTTTGAAACATCTTAAGATTTTGTTAAATATTCGTGTTGTTGTTGTATGTTGTGAAGTTATTTGCAATATTTATCTAGTTTTGTTAATGATATTTTGAGCTGAGTGTTTGAAACATCTCATTAAGATGTTTGAAGCTTCATATAAGATGTTTAACAATCTATGAGATGTTTCACCAAAAGATACTTGATTATCACAATGACATGGTTGATTATTTTAGCGATTAAGAAAATCATTGATAGAGACGTATAGATAAAGAAGTTTGGAGGATTATAATATGAACATTGCTAGCTTGCTTTCAAACTCCATCTAACTAGCTAGAAACTTAAATTACTATATCTTGGTTAGCATTTATAGATGGCAGAAAATTGATTTTACCTCTTAAGCTCAATCTTGTATGACCATTCAATGCAACACCATTAGAGATGAAGATGTTTGAAACATCTTATATGAGGCTTCAAACATCTCACTGAGATTTTACACCAAAGAATACTTGAATATTTATAGTTTTGTTTTTTTATGTGTTAGGAACAAATTATTTGTTTATTTTATTGATGGTCGTTGTTTGTGTGTGCAGATAAAATGGCAAAGGGATGTGTGTCAAAGACAGGTGGAGGAGGAAGAGATAAATCTCCTTCCAAAAGATCTATCAAAAGAATTAAGACATCTCAGGAGGATGAGCTACAAAAATCAATTGTAGCTGAAGTGGAAGCCAAACCTCTTCAGGTAGTAGAAGTAGTAGAAGGAGAGAATGCTGGAGAAGAAGAAAAAGAGAAAGAAAATGAACAGGAAATTGAGAAAGAGAATACAAAGGAAACAGAGAATGTACTAGGAGGGAATGCTAGAGAAGAGGAAATAGAGAAAGAAAAAGAAGAGGAAAAGGAGGAGACAACAGTTGATGAAGGAGAAGAGGAGACAGATATTGATGATGAAGCATCCGTAGCAAATACTGAAGAAAAAGCTTCAAGAGAAGAAGAAGAAAAAGAAAAAGAGGCAGCGACAAAAAGAAGAAAAAAGAGAAAGAATGATAATGCACCTTCTCAATCTGTTGAGGTAAGCTTAATATGTTTCAAACATCTCTCTGGATGTTTGAAATATTTCCTAGGATGTTTCATCTTTTTAATTATTAAATCAACTATTATTGTGCCTTTGATTAATCAACACCTTTAAATCATGTATAGGATGAGATGCCTGAGGATGAGTTTGACAGTTGCGAGGTTGAAATCTTAAAGCTTCGATCGGAACTTCCACCCTTAAAGTACAAGACATTTTTAGATGATAATGAGACCTTCAACAAGAAGATCACTGTGAGATCCTTATTAGGATTAGCAGGTATGGGGGAGTTCCGAAAGTTGTTGCAGGATGAGGGCCTCAAAAATAAGTTTAGGAGTAGTCCTTTCCGGCATTTTGGATTTGCCTGAGAGGCCACTATTTCAAGCATCTATAGTGCATGCTCTTCTACTCCGTAGAGTATTGTGTGAGAAGACCCAGGAGTTATGGTTTGATTATAAAAGATTACCAGTTTACTTCGGTCTTCGTGAGTTCGCCATAATGACTGGACTCAACTGTGGACATTCTTACACGAATTCGAAGCTTCAAAAGTACCTTCTTGATGGTGAAGAGTTGCGGAAACTTATTGCTAAAGGAAAGAGGTCTGTGACTGGTAAAATAGTGTTTGAGTTTATCAAATGTGAATCCAAAAAAAAATAAAAAAAAATACAAGTATGCATTATGCTTGATTTGGTTTGTCCATTGTATTTTATTGGCAAAGGATTCGAAATGTGGTGTGTCCGAAGCTACCGTCAGATTGGCCTCCACAGAAGAGGCTTTCTACAATTATCCATGGAGCCGAAATTGTTTCAGGTTGACAGTTGATTATCTTATGAAAGATATGAAAGAGCGTCAACAATCTAAGGGTGACTCGTATAACCTCTACGGATTTCCTTGGGCTTTCATGGTAACTAAATAAATCTTGTTCATTATTTCTATTTTAGTTTTATTTATATAATTTTCTATTTACTTTTTTATCACATAATGTAGGCTTGGGCATTTGAAGTCATACCTCAATTGCGGCCAAAAGACTATCCAAAAGAGAGGACATTACTGAGGATGAAGAGGTGGCTATTTGAAAAATTAGAAAAAGACAGGCCTGATCCATTTCATGTCAAAGATCGTCTGGTAAGGCTCATTCTGATAGATGTTTAATGTTTGAAACATCTTTGACACATCCACAGGATGTTTGAAACATATCCGCATGATGTTTGAAACATCTTTCAAAAATCTTCCACAGAATATTTGAAACATCCACGTGATAGCTGAAACATCTTTCAAACAACATGTGGATGTTTTTTATAGTTTGTAGAAGAGTCTGAAGCTATACTAGACCTCTTAGGATCCTTGCAAGTGTTGTATAGGTAAGACACTTGTATTTTGCTTTAATATGGTTGGCCAACACATCTTTAGTACTGATGAATACATTGTTACCTTTATCCAAAAAAAAAATCTATTTCCTATTAATGGTTTTTTTTTCTTCAAGAGACTGTTAGAATAGCACGATCCGTCTTGTTATATGAACTGGAGAATAAACGAATATCCAGCGGTGGATATACTTAGGATCAAGCCAAGTAAAAAGCTTCTTATTTTGGATGTAAATGGTATTTTAGCGGAAATAGTTTCGTTACAAGGTACACTCAAAGGTAACAAAAAATTTCTTTTTAATGCTTTTGAACTTAAGATAAAAATATCTGCATCTAATTGGCCTGCTTTTTACCAGCTTTACAAAGACCCTCTTGCGATGAATTTTTGAAGTTTTGCTTTGAAAATTTTAAAATCGCCATTTGGACTTCTAGGACGCGGTAACCTTCGAGCTTCTATTCTGCAACTTTATTGACTCCAGATGGCTAAAGCACTTCAGTTTATACTTGGATGTTGTAATTTTGCAGGACAAATTTTGATAGTGTACTGTGTGACACGGGAATTTATACTGAGATAACTAAAAACTGTCTATTTACTTGGGTAAGTGAACTTCTTTACGGTATATGTTTGGTTTCTTAAGATCCTCATATTTCAAAGGACTGTTTTGTAGTGTCAAGAGGAGTGTACAAAAATAGAAGAAAGTGTGGAGAACCCATACTGAGTATGTCGCATCCAACACTTTGTTGGTTGATGACTCTCCTTATATGGCATTCCTCAATCCAGAAAGTTTATGGGCTCGAGTTATTCATTTTCTTCAATGATATATTGTGTAAGGCATGTTGAATTGGCTCTTATGTGGAGGTTTGGAAAGGAAAATGGTGGGGGTTTGCTGATGTCTTATGTCGATTTGCTACACTGATCCGTGTTGTTTGTTGAACTTGCTAATTACTCTTTACGTATTATTTCTTGTTTGTGTTATTGTCTAATATAGGCACATACTGCGATATTTCCTCATTCATACCATGGAAGACACAGGAGCGATAATTGTTTAGGTAAGAAATTCAATTTATTGTCTTAAATACTTCAGCAGTTTCTATTCAAATTCATTACATGTCATGGGGAATGGTGAACAGGTACAGGAGGTAGCATAAGAGTTTATTTGGAAAAATTGGTGGAAGCTGATCATGTGCAAGAATTTGTAAGACAAAATCCATTTGTTGGTGGTCAAGAGGCTATTACAGAAAATTCTCGAGAATGGGGGCATTATCACAGAGAAAAATTGGAGAAATTAAGCTAATGTTGAAATTTAGGACATAGTGCCTGATTATTCTGTAAACAATAATTTTACGGCATGTTGGTATTAGTTTTGGCAGCCTTCAGTTACTTAGTAATTTACTACTACCATGGAATACTGGAGCAAATTACGACTTAGGACCTGATCAATTTACGCCAAATTACGACTTAGGACCTGATCAATTTACGCCATGAACAATTAGTAACTTAGTAATTTATTGTTGCCTATAAATTACTATATCAAATAATTGTGTCTGCGTCCTTAAATCGTTGGGTACTTTAAGCCTTAATATTGTTACTAAAACATGTCAACAGTAATATTGCTACTAAACAGATGGTACCTAGACATGGCAATACGGCAGTAATACACTTGGAAATAGGGGAGTAATTTACAACGCCTATAAGTCACTTGAAAAAAAAACAGAAGTTACTGACGGCTGCCAATGTCGTACACCGTTGTTGTCGTTACCATACCAAGTAATCAAATAAGTCCTTTTTTTAACGGTTCAAGTATAAAGGCCAAATTGATCCCTCTACTTTCATTCTTGTCTAACTTAATCCTCTAGCGGTGGGCGTCGGTCCGTTCGGTTCGATTCGGTTTTGTTGAATTTCGGTTCGGTTTATTCGATTTTCGGTTTGTGCTTTTAATAACCAAAATCGAACTGTAATAACTTTGGTTCAATTTTGACTTATTCATGTTCCGTTCGGTTTAGTTGGTTCGTTATTTTGATTTTAAGCCATGGCAAAAATGACAACCAAACAAAAAAATTGTAACGACCCGATCGGTCATTTTGAGCATTTGCACTTTGCTCGGAAGTTTGGGAGCATGATTAGCTTCGTATGATGTATTATGACTTGTGTGAATCGTCGGTTTTGGTTTTCAGGTTATTCGGAATTTGATTTAGAAGAATGAATTTCATGATTTAACCTTTAAAAGTTGGAAGAGTTGACCAAGTTTGATTTTTTAGTATTTGACCTCGGATTGGAGATTTGATAGTTCCGTTAGATCCGGATGGTGATTTTGGACTTGGGCGTATACCCGGATTTGCATTTGGATATTTCTAGAAGTTTTCAGTGCTAATTGGCGAAAGTTGGAAATTTGAAGGTTTGGAAAGTTCATAAGTTTGACCGAGAGTTGACTTTTAGGATATCAGACTGGATTGTGGTTTCGGGAATTGGAATAACGCCGTCATGTCATTTAGGACTTGTGTGCAAAATTTGAGCTCATTCCGAGTTGATTCGATATGTTTCGGCGCGAGTTTTGGAAGTTAAAAGTTCAAAAGTTCATTAAGTTTGATTTGAGGTGCAATTCATTGTTTCGATGTTGTTATGCGTGATTTGAGGCCTCGAATAGGTCTGTGTTATGTTATGAGACTTGTTGGCATGTTTGGACGGGCCCCGAGGGGAGGTATTGGCCGACCGGTATCCTGTTAGCTCTAGCATCAAGGCCATGCACTGGTAACAACCCATCGCCAAGTAGATTGACATTTTCTACTACTATCACAAGTCTGGGTAACAGTTTGTCACCTTGAGGATTGGCGTTGTCAGTTACTCTAGCAGGTGCTACTTCCAGCGCAGTTAGTCTATCCATGATCTGCTCTAGAGCTCCATGTATAGTCGTCTGTGTCTCGTTCAGTTCCCTACAGGTGACTATCAGTTCCTCCATTGCTTCATTGTGTTTTGCCAGCTTTTCATCCATCAACTTCATTTGTGTGCCTTCTGCAATTATTGTGAGCGCCTAATTTTTGACCATATTTAATTTGTTCACTCGCTAGTATTTAAATAGATTTTAAGTTTAATTTTAATATTGTAGTTTTATTTCACCTTTTTATAGGTTTATTTTAGATAATTTAAAAATTGCAAAAAAAAAAAAAGAGTTACATATTTTTGAAGTATTAGTTTTATTTTTTATTTTACAAAGAAAGAAAAAGTTTCAACAAAAAATAGGGGGATATAATTTTATTTAGCTTAGTTTAATTTTAAGTGAGAGGTTTTTGAGAAATAAATATTGAGTATAGTAATTTTACCTTGCTTTTTATTTACTTATTTAGTAGGAGTAGAATTTGTTTTTTAGTAATTATCAAGAAAAGAAAAAAGAGCCAATGAAAAATTGTCACATGGTAAAAGATTCTCTCTTATCATCTAATTCACATGCACTTTCCTAACAATTTCCTATAAATAACACCTACCCTAGATAATTACACTCCTAATCCTTATCTCTTCCACCAATTAATCCCTATACCTACACCTATATATCTACGCACAAAGAGAAAAAAAACAAACTAAGACCTAAAAAAACCCAAAACCCTAAGTCATCTTCTCTAGCGAACAAAGCCAATGCCCAGCATCCCTTCGACCACACTGTATAATAGCCACNAAAACAGAGGCAGAGAAAACTTGCTTCTGCATTTCAAGCTTCATAGCAAAAAGCTCATAACCTTCAACCATGAAAAACCCATGAAAACTTCCATCTTCTCCATAAATAAAAACAAAAATATCATCCACCATCCTCCTTTAAAATCATGTAAAAAGCTCCTTGAAACTCCACAAAAATGTCATAGAAAAGATTCTCAAAAACAACCTCCAAAGCCACCCCATTTTAGCTCCAAAAACGAGTTGAGAAGTGTCCATAAACCAGCTCTAAATCACACCTCAAATCATCTCCAAAACGCTGTCAAAAACCTAGTAGTTTTCTCCCAAAAAATAGCTATGAATCCCAGCTCAAAACTATCCAAAAACACCTGAAAATACAACAATAACCAACCCCTTTTTCCACCCAAAAACAGTCCCAAAATCAATATCAAAGCCCATCTAGAAACACCTAGAAAACAACTCTCTTTTCCCATAAATGCAGCAGAAAACGAACCAAAACAGTCCCAAAAACGACTCCAAAATCACAGCCAAACCGAGCCAAAAGAATAGACCATTTTCAACCCCAAAAAGACCCAAAATAATAGCTCCAAAAATGTTGCGAGTTTGACCGGGAAGAGCCCCTCGTTCGACACAAAAATAGAGGCTACCGGCGAACTCGAGCTCATCGCTTGAGGTCGCCGTTCGAGTCACTTGAGGTTCGAAGTCTTCTGGGCATTTAAGGTTTGTTCGTGATCTCGTCGACTATTCGTTCATTGTTTTTTATTCGAATTTGTGAGGTTGCCGGTGAGTCCTCTGTTTTCTTGGTCGAGTTGTTCTTGTTGAATTTCCACCTTTGTATTCAAGAATTTTTTCTGATATAAAAGGTCTGTTCCATCTCACCTTTTGTCAATTGCTATCTTATTTGGTGTTGGAATGATATATTTAGCCAAATTCCTTGTTTGTGATATTCCGTTCATAATTGAAATTGCTCATAGTTGGCTGGAGTTAACTCACTACTTGACGTAATTAGGATGAAATGCTTTGTTTACATTCTTATGTTAATTTTATGTTGGCCTTGTTTGGAAATTGGAATAGAAGATACATGAAACTAATTAGAACAAATGGTCCAAATGTTTAAATCCATCGCCCAATACAAATGAATTCATCAGCTGACCCGTGTTTAAATAAGCACTAAGTCATAATATCTTCACCTACAAATAACTTCCATAAATTATGACCTTCACAATAATTTCAAACTAGTTTTAGGACAATAATTTATGAACTTTCATAGTTTGCTTTAGGCGCGTAAATGAATCATCGTGACTATGGGTACGATTCACGTGGCATAGTCATGATACGTAATCCCCAATTCGGGTGTGCATTTCATGTGACCCGATCATAACTTCTAATAATAATTAAAATAAATATGTTGCAAATCACGGGTGCATTTCATGTGACGCAATTCGCAATGTGTTCAAAAACAATAAGTGCGCGACATCACGACTTATTTAATTAAACTCCATAAATATTAAAAGCGGTTAAAAAGTTAAAAATGCACAATAAGTGTAAAACATGTAACTAATCAGATAATTAGGCCAATTATTAATAGTTGAGCGACTGTGCTGAAATTACGGAACCCGAAAATGCCTAACATCTTCTCTCGGGTTAACAGAATTCCTTACCCAGTCTTCTATGTTCGCAGACCATAAAATAAGAGTCAATTTCCTCGATTTGGGATTTTAAAATAAACCGGTGACTTGGGACACCATATAATTATCCCAAGTGGCGACTCTGAAATAAATTAAATAATCTCATTTCGATTAATGTCACTTAAATTGGAAAAACTTCCTATCCCTCTCGGGAAAAAGGAGGTGTGACAGCTCTGGCGACTCTGCTGGGGACAAGAACCTAGAACTTCTGGTTCAGGGTTCAGAATTTGAGCTTAGAATAACTGTTATACTTGGCTTTTATCTATTATCTAATTTTTTGCATGTTTGAGCCTAATGTGCTAAATGAGCTTTTTACCGCTTTGATATTGATTGAACTGTATATAAACTGTTATGAAACCCTCTTCTCTCTCAGTCTTCTAAATCATCTGGGAAGCGTATACTTTGTGTGGCTTCTTTTCTGTTAAAGTCAAATCCCAATTTTAGAATGAGGTTCGGATAAGTTGCAAAGCCGGTGAAACTTCTGTATTTTCGGTATGCTGCCCTCCCCCTCCCCGGCTCGAGTTGTCTGCTCGGGTAGCCAAGTCTAGAACAATACACCCAGGATTCAAACCTAGAATAACATAGCCTCATGTCGGATCCCTAGTAGGAACGTTTGTTTGCATCACATGCATTTGACTTTGGGGACTTAACACAGGGGTTGAGTCCGTTTAGGATAGGTGTACCCAAATTAAAAGACCATCCTGATGCATCTTACGTGCTATTTGCGTATCTGTTTGTTTCGGTTTGCATGTTGACTGGCTGTTAGAATAGGGAAAGAAAATAAAAAATAAAAAAGAAAAAATAAAAGAAAATAGAAAAAAATCAAGAGTGAGAGGTAGGTAATCCAAAACTCTGCCGAAATTTTCAAAAAAAAAAAGAAAAAAGAAAATAAGCGAATGTTTTGAAAAGTCGTGTTTTCCCTGTTCTATCAAAACGGTCGAAGTACGCGGGTCTGATTCTCACCAGATGTGAGATACGTAGGCAAACCTCATTGGTTCCGGCCCATAATTTTCAAAAATCCAAAAATATTTTCCTTTACTTCCTTCTTTAGAAAACTCTTTCTTTGAGACCCCAATTTTTTTTAAAAAAAAAATCCAAAAATATTTTCTTTTAATTTCTTTTAAAA